GATTCTTCCTGTTTTCTAAATAAACGCCATCAAGAAGCATTAGAAAGATTAAAAATATTGCTAGAGTTTGTGTCACCAGGAAATTGTGAAGGTGGTCAAACACTGGATCAGGCTTCCTGGAGATGTGGATGATGCCCCATGCTTGTCAGGGTTGACAGACATTTGGATAATGCTTTCATTAGTATGTTTTTCCTTGTGGTTAGAGCTAATGATGTCTGACAGTTGAATCTGATGGTATTTGAAGATGCCTTCCAGTTCCTCTCCTCTCTTCTCCACTAGAGGTATTAACTGGAAGAAGGGCAGTAACAGAATCTACTGTTTCCGCGAAACAGTGATGATGTCCACTGCCCTTTTATGCATCAGTGATAGCAAAAGCACTTGAACTTTGCACAAATGGAAACCCTCTCTCTTAGAAACTTCCCATGCTGAGCATGCTCCTACCTCTATTGTTTGCTTGCTTCCTTCTTTTCCCCTTTTTTCTCCTTAAAGAGGATGCAGTTTCACTCGAACGTTGCACAAACTCTGCAATGCTATGATATTGACTCCTTAACCCTGTGATAATTCACAGCCCATAACAGAGATCAGGTTTGTAAAGAGATTCTGCCCGTTACTGTGATTTCCTTCTTGTCCCATTCCTGGGGGTGGTTGGTCTCTTCTGTGATCAGTTTATAGGTACTTTTGAGGTTAGTCTCTCTGAGGTCAGCTTCTTAACGTGACCACATTGATGATGGTCTGACCTACACTGCCCTTCTGGGATCCCTTTGGATCTCCCGTGATATTTTGAATATGTAGAGATATATATAACCTGTTACATCATTAGAATCATAGAATCATGGAATTACTGAGGTTGGAAAAGACCTTCAAGTTCATCAAGTCCAATCGCAACTTAACCATACTACCCTAACTCTAACAACTCTCTGCTAAACCAAAATTGTTTCAATTAGTAAGATTGATAAGTATGTAATCTTCAATTTTTTTAAGTCCATAGTTTTACTGATGAGTTTGCTTCATCAGTATCAGCATCAATCTATATCAATATCAATTTAGATTTGTTGTGGTGTTTTTAAAACTTCAAAGAGCATTTCTGCTACTTCTAAGTGCTTCTACAATTAATTCCTAAATGAATATAGACTTCATTTTTGGTGCATTATGGAATAGTACCAACTGATTGCTGTAACTTCCACTTACGGTTGGGCTGGGAACACCCTGCTATGGCAGTGTGCCCTGAGAGTCAGCCATACCTGAGGCTGATGTTGATGTTGCAACTGCCCAAGTGTTCAGCCCTGGCATGAGTCCACACCAGGACCATGAGCTGCAGAAGTATACTTGTCATTGGTTTCACTATGGGGGACGTGTGTCCTGCTCTGTACAGCACTGAGA